GCCCGAGAGGCCCCCGAGAAGCCTACAAGAGGCCCCCACGAGGCCCGGCCCCCAGGAAGCTCCCAGGAGGCCGCAAGAATGACCCAAGAAGCCCCCAAGACGGCCCCAAGGCCCCCAAGATTGCCCCACGATCGCCCAAGATGCCTCCAAAATGGCCCCAGGACGGCCCAAGAGGCCCCCAAGACGCCGCAAAGGGCTCCAAGACGGCCCAAGAGGCCTCCAAGACGCCCAAGACGGCCTGAAAAACGATCCTGAAGCGCTCCGAGAGGGCCTCAAGACGGCCCAGAGAGGCTCCCCAAATGGCTTCCGACGGCGTCAGACGGGCCAGGAATGCCGTGAGACGGCCCAAGAGGCCCCCGAGAAGCCTACAAGAGGCGCCCACGAGGCCCGGCCCCCAGGAAGCTCCCAGGAGGCAGCAAGAATAACCCAAGAAGCCCCCAAGACGGCCCAAGACGACTCAAGAGGCCCCGAAGATTGCCCCAGGATCGCCCAAGAGGCCTCCAAGATGGCCCCAGGACGGCCCAAGAGGCCCCCAAGACGCCGCAAAGGGCTCCAAGACGGCCCAAGAGGCCTCCAAGACGCCCAAGACGGCCTGAAAGACGATCCTGAAGAGCTCCGAGAGGGCCTCAAGACGGCCCAGAGAGGCTCCCCAAATGGCTTCCGACGGCGTCAGACGGGCCAGGAACGCCGTGAGACGGCCCAAGAGGCCCCCGAGAAGCCTACAAGAGGCCCCCACGAGGCCCGGCCCCCAGGAAGCTCCCAGGAGGCAGCAAGAATAACCCAAGAAGCCCCCAAGACGGCCCAAGACGACTCAAGAGGCCCCGAAGATTGCCCCAGGATCGCCCAAGAGGCCTCCAAGATGGCCCCAGGACGGCCCAAGAGGCCCCCAAGACGCCGCAAAGGGCTCCAAGACGGCCCAAGAGGCCTCCAAGACGCCCAAGATGGCCTGAAAGACGATCCTGAAGAGCTCCGAGAGGGCCTCAAGACGGCCCAGAGAAGCTCCCCAAATGGCTTCCGACGGCGTCAGACGGGCCAGGAACGCCGTGAGACGGCCCAAGAGGCCCCCGAGAACCCTGCAAGAGGCCCCCACGAGGCCCGACCCCCAGGAAGCCCCCAGGAGGCCGCAATAATGACCCAAGAAGCCCCCAAGACGGCCCAAGACGACTCAAGAGGCCCCGAAGATTGCCCCACGATCGCCCAAGAGGCCTCCAAGATGGCCCCAGGACGGCCCAAGAGGCCCCCAAGACGCCGCAAGGGCTCCAAGACGGCCCAAGAGGCCTCCAAGACGCCCAAGATGGCCTGAAAGACGACCCTGAAGTGCTCCGAGAAGGCCGCAAAAGACGGCCCAGAGAGGCTCCCCAAATGGCTTCCGACGGCGTCAGACGGGCCAGGAACGCCGTGAGACGGCCCAAGAGGCCCCCGAGAAGCCTACAAGAGGCCCCCACGAGGCCCGGCCCCCAGGATGCTCACAGGAGGCAGCAAGAATAACCCAAGAAGCCCCCAAGACGGCCCAAGACGACTCAAGAGGCCCCCAAGATTGCCCCACGATCGCCCAAGAGGCCTCCAATATGGCCCCAGGACAGCCCAAGAGGCCCCCCAAACGCTGCAAAGGCCTCCAAGACGGCCCAAGAGGCCTCCAAGACGCTCAAGATGGCCTTAAAGACGATCCTGAAGAGCTCCGAGAGGGCCTCAAGACGGCCCAGAGAGGCTCCCCAAATAGCTTCCCACGGCGTCAGACGGGGCAGGAACGCCGTGAGACGGCCCAAAAAGCCCCTGAGAAACCTACAAGAGGCCCCCGCGAGGCCCGGCCCCCAGGATGCTCCCAGGAGGCCGCAGGAATGACCCAAGAAGCCCCCAAGACGGCCCAAGACGACTTAAGAGGCCCCCAAGATTGCCCCACGATCGCCCAAGATGCCTCCAAAATGGCCCCAGGACGGCCCAAGAGGCCGCCAAGACGCCGCAAAGGCTCCAAGACGGCCCAAGAGGCCTCCAAGACGCCCAAGACGGCCTGAAAAACGATCCTGAAGCGCTCCGAGAGGGCCTCAAGACGGCCCACAGAGGCTCCCAAAATGGCTTCCGACGGCGTCAGACGGGCCAGGAACGCAGTGAGACGGCCCAAGAGGCCCCCGAGAAACCTACAAGAGGCCCCCACGAGGCCTGGCCCCCAGGAAGCTCCCAAGAGGCCGCAAGAATGACCCAAGAAGCCCCCAAGACGGCCCAAGACGACTCAAGAGGCCCCGAAGATTGCCCCACGATCGCCCAAGAGGCCTCCAAGATGGCCCCAGGACGGCCCAAGAGGCCCCCAAGATGCCGCAAGGGCTCCAAGACGGTCCAAGAGGCCCCCAAGACGCCCAAGATGGCCTTAAAGACGACCCTGAAGTGCTCCGAGAAGGCCGCAAAAGACGGCCCAGAGAGGCTCCCCAAATGGCTTCCGACGGCGTCAGACGGGCCAGGAACGCCGTGAGACGGCCCAAGAGGCCCCCGAGAAGCCTACAAGAGGCCCCCGCGAGGCCCGGCCCCCAGGATGCTCCCAGGAGGCCGCAGGAATGACCCAAGAAGCCCCCAAGACGGCCCAAGACGACTCAAGAGGCCCCCAAGATTGCCCCACGATCGCCCAAGATGCATCCAAAATGGCCCCAGGACGGCCCAAGAGGCCGCCAAGACGCCGCAAAGCCTCCAAGAGCTCAAGAGGCCTCCAAGACGCCCAAGACGGCCTGAAAGACGATCCTGAAGCGCTCCGAGAGGGCCTCAAGACGGCCCACAGAGGCTCCCAAAATGGCTTCCGACGGCGTCAGACGGGCCAGGAACGCAGTGAGACGGCCCAAGAGGCCCCCGAGAAACCTACAAGAGGCCCCCACGAGGCCTGGCCCCCAGGAAGCTCCCAGGAGGCCGCAAGAATGACCCAAGAAGCCCCCAAGACGGCCCAAGACGACTCAAGAGGCCCCGAAGATTGCCCCACGATCGCCCAAGAGGCCTCCAAGATGGCCCCAGGACGGCCCAAGAGACCCCAAAGACGCCGCAAAGGGCTCCAAGACGGCCCAAGAGGCCTCCAAGACGCCCGAGATGGCCTTCAAGACGACCCTGAAACGCTCCGAGAGGGCCTCAGAGACGGCCCAGAGAGGCTCCCCAAACGGCCCAGAGAGGCCCCCAAGAAGCCCCAACAGGCCTCCATAAGAGGCCCAAGAGGCCCCCAAGATTGCCCCACGATCGCCCAAGAGGCCTTTTTTGACACCCCTCCCCCCAGTACAGTTGTCCTGCCATGAGGGGCAGCTGCAGCAGTGCGAAGCACCACGACTCAGTCCACGTCGCACTGGTACCAGTGCTCCCCGACGCGGCCCTCCTCAAGGTTGCACTCCACCGCCTCGCCGCTGTGCACCACTCCGCCCTCGCTGTACTGGTTCCAGTACAGCTGGAAGTGGTCTTCCCGTTTGCGGATGCTCACCCCTCAGCAGCCTGTCTCGCCGCGTCCGCTTGGTGTCGGCACCCGAACACACCCCGCGCCTTGGCAGCGGACCAGGACACTCCTTGTTCATCCCGTCCCTCCGCAGTGCCGCATAAGCCCCACAGTCACGGCAGACGACATAGGGCCCGCATATCTGCACCACATGCTGCCTACGTGTGTCGGGTGCATCAGGTGGCGCCTCTTCAAGCCTCGGCCGCCTCCTCGGGGACCGCGATCTCGCCGCTGTTGCATCACTCACCTGGCTCTGGCCCCAATGGGCCTCGCGAGCCCCGCCAGCTGCCCGCTGGGAAGTCCCACCAGACCCTGCAACATCAGCTGCACCACGCTCTCCTGCGGCCAGTCCTGCCACGGCAGCCTCCACGGCGGCGGCAGCCGCAACAGGCCCAACCCCCGCGGTCCCCGTAGCCGTCGACGTAGCCGCGCGCTGCCGTACTCCTCGCGCAGCAGCGACGCAGGCCTCGAGCGAGCCCCCCTCGTACACCACGTCTGCCATGCGCCACGGTGGTGGGCGGCATTCCGCCTCCCACAGCTTCTTCCTCATTCGTGCCGTGGCCGCGCGCCTCCCACACCGCGTACACACTTGCCACCGCCCACGCTGCTCCACCTCGTGCTTCGTCAGCTGGATGCGTGGCCGCTGCTGCCGCCTGCGCCTAGGCCCAGGCGGCCGTGGGGGAGCATCAGGCCACTCTCCGCTCAGCTGCTGGTGCCACCACCCGACGTTCTGGATGGCCCACTTGACCTTCTCCCCGATCCCATCGAGCACCTCCTGCCTGCCGTAACCGTAGTCGTCCTCGGCACCGCTCTTCGACAATAAGTCCACGGCAGCGTTACCTCTGGCGATGGCCTGCTGGCCCTCCTCGAGCCTGTTGATCGTGGCCTTCGAACGGTGCGCCTTGACGTACCTCACGCAGCTGCGGTCCAAACCAATGTCGACCACCGTGTGCCATATCCTACGCCACAAATCCGCGTGTGGCCGCTTCCAGGAGAGGCACCAACGAGCACCTCGAGCCAGACCGTCGACAATGCCCTGGTGATCGGTGTAGATCCTGCATGGTGGCACCACGACCTCCAATACTTCGAGGAATGCCCACATCTCCGCTCGCTTCACCGTCTTCTGCACACTGTACTGGCACGGCAGCGGACCCCAGAGCTGGATAGTTGGCGCACCTTCTCCGTCGATCGCCATAGCTGCCTACCCAGCTTGCGCCCACTTGCTGCCGCCCAGCTTCGACCCGTCGCAAACGATGTCACCGGTGAAGTGAGACTCGGAGCCCTCGTTCACCACGAAATGGTACTGCTCCTCCGTCACGGCGCGAAACTGCCAGTCCACCGATCGGTCCCTCACAAGCCCCCTCGTCCACAACCAACTGTCAACCTGCTGCTCCGCCACGCGCTGCCAGTCCGCCTGCCCCTTGTTCCGCACGTCCCGCAGCTTGGGGCAGACGAAATACCTGTGATGCGGCGTGCCCGCGCCCTCACCACACGCCAAGCAGAGATCAGTCGGCGTGATGTTGTGCTTACAGAGCTTACTCATGGTCTAGGAGTCGCTTATGAGCACCTTCCTCGCTGCGTTCTTCGCATGCTTCGGGAAGTTCCTGGCCCCCAACACCGCCTTAGCGGGCTGCAAGAAAGGTGCTGGTGCCAAGCTCTCGTGCCCAGGCTCTGCTGTCCACTGCGCCCACAGCTGCGCCTCCAGGTCCTGCTGCAATAACATCCCGACGTCGTTGGGGCAGGTCTCCAATAGGTTGAGTTGTTCCCCATTGCGCATCAGGAAAAGGTGCCACTCCGGCCACTTCCAGCCCGCTCTGCGTATGGACATGATGACAGCACCTGCAGGGCCTTTGACACGCCCCCACTGCGGCTGCATACCTACTGCGCTTTGCTGCTGCTTCCACGCTCTCTGGAGTTGCTCCCGCAGGTCCTCACGTTCACTGAGTTCCCGCCGTCGTCCGCTGACACGCTCCTCCGAGATGGCCAACTGCCGACCCACCTGCACGAAGAGGTCCAGCAGGTCGCCGAGGCTGCCGATGTTGTGGCACCCGCTGCCCGCTTCCAGCTGCCGCACTCCATCGTCAGGTGCCCGTCGCAGCCTGTCGCCGAGCAGCCGTCGGAGTTCCTGCTGCGCCGCTCCACGCTCGTATCGGCATTGCTTCAGCACCTCCACTCGGTCCACGTAATCCAGGTCATTGATGTACCTGATCGCCGCCGCTCGCCACCATCGTGCCCGAGCCCGCGACCGTTTGCAAGTAGCTACAATATCTGCCTGTGTGGCCCCCTCGTACCTCACCCCGACCAGCACGGTTACCCACTCAAGCCAGTCGTCGACGTCTTGGTAGTCCACCCCGCAAAGGTCGGTGATCCACAGCGCCGCCCAGACTCCTAGTGCTTCATCCAGAGCAGCGACGTCACCTACAGCACCATTCCCTGCGAGCACGGTGCCATTGGTGTGGGGGTGAGTGAGGGCCTGCACATCAGCCTCTGGCACTTGCCCCTGTTGGGCTTCCCACTGCGCTGCTCTCGCCGCTTCTTCTCCCGCCGTGAGCTCCCGCGCAGCGCGCGACCAGCGAACCGCAGGAGCGGCCGTGATCTCGCACGTGGGTCCCTCCTTCGCGAGGGCCAACTGCAAAGTGAGACTTTTCGCCCCCCTGGACCCTGGGAGAAGCTTGCCTGCGGCGCGACGTACTTGCTGAAGTTGGTGATCTGGCATGCCCAAACACTTGCGCCCATGCAGCACTGACCGCTTCAGCCCACATTTATACACCATAACCATGCCTCTTGTCATACCTTGACCTCCTCGCCGTAGCTGAAGTAACCTGGCCGTCCGCCTCCGCATCCTGGCGAAACGCTTGCCGCTCTTTGCCTTGAGTGCCGCGCCACTGGAGACCATGTCGACCCCCAGGTATGGGCAGGCACGGGCAACTGGCAAACCCCCCTGGCTCATATCACCCTGCACGGCGTCTCTGAGCCACTTGGTATTAGCCATGGCCGCGCCTTTGCCCTTTGCACCCACGGAGAACTCCAGGCCCAGATCAGCAAAACTCGCAATGCTGTCGTCGATCGCCAAAGGGAACACGTCGGCCACCCACTGCTGCGCACCCCTCTGCCTGATGCTGAGGTCATCGGCGTGCATGCGCCACGTTGCCGGCGGATGCTCAACCACCAAGCCGTCAACCGTATCCTGAATCACCATCTTAAGGAAACCCACCGAGAACTTGCTGCCTGCAATGATAGTGCACACCGCGCGTGTCTCGAGCGACACCGCGCCCCCCGCGCTGACACGCCGCGCCATGGCAAAACAAGAGCATACCACCGCAAGACTCCCTGCGTGAAAGCGCATGCGCTTGCCCCGCCCCCACAGGACGTGCAAACACACCCTCTCGAAGGCCTTCGCCAGGTCTAGGATCGCCGTGATCGTGGCAATGACTGCAGGATCAGCATCTCCAGGAGCGCCCGCTTCATGTGCCAAAATAACCTCCCACGCCGCATCCTCAGCCGCGCGCCCGTAGGACGTGCAGTCCCACGATCTGTGATTCTCCCTCGCCCACGCCTGCAAGTACGGCTCCCTCATGATCTCCCAGACCCTCACCAGGGTGGGCAGGAGGCCGATAGCACGGTCGACCAGCTCATTCTTGGGGATGAGGGACAATATGATCGTGGCCGCATGCGACGGCCAGGATGGCGAGCAACGCCCAGTGCGCGTCGTCCGAGGCGCCCTGCAACATGGACGGGTGCCACCTGTCTGATCCGATCTCCGTCCTCTTCATGAAACTGCAAGCGACCTTCCTTAGCCGTTCGAAGTCCCCGTCATTGAAATCGTTCAGCTACATACGTGCCTCCGACTCCCAGGGCCTGGGTGCTGTCTGCACTTCTTCGCCCACTCGCCACGCTTTGTTCCACTCGTCCAGCGCATACTGAGCAGCCTGCAAAAGGTCGGCGGACTGAGCAGCAGTTGCCGCCCGCCGTGGGCGCCAGACCTCAGCTGGCTTGCACAGCCTGTGAAGGCCACCTGCCGCACCCTTCACCGCCGACTCCAGCTTGGCTGCCCATCCTTTCCTTCTCTCGTTGACCAACTCCTGATCGAAGCGCTTGGACTTGGCTCTCGCCTCCTCCAGCAACGCCTTCAGGATATGCTGCTTCTCGGCCCCTCGCCACAGCCCTTCCGCCATCACCTGGCACCTCGCAGCCCAAAGCTCACGATCGGCCTGGTCCACCACCCTCACGTTGCGCGCCGTGCCGCTGAGGTTGAAGAGCCTCTCTTGTGCAAGCACATCGACCAGCCTCTGGGCGATGGGGCCCGCGTTGACCGTCTTCGAGTGCAGACGATCGTAAGCGCCCTTCAGGTTGCCCAACGTCCTGGCAAGCCACCTCCACCAGAGCGCCGCTCCTGTCGGCTTCGGCAGGTTACAACCACCCTGCTTGACCTCCATGATCCGTCAATGTGGTTCACGCGCGCGTCCTGCTTGCTGATGCCGTGGATCCCACGCCATCCCACGAACCCCAAAGGCCTCACGCTCCAGCTTCTGCATGAAGTGGCCCCAGCTCTTGGCGGCAGTGCCCACCGAGTCGAACGACCCCGCCTTGTCGCAACTCGGCGGCTCAGGGGCGCAACCAATGATGACGTCGTCCAAGTCCTTCGGCTTCTGCAGGGTCCTGGTACGCTTCACCTGGACGCTCGCATCCAGGGTGAGGCCGACTGGCTTGCGCGGCGCCGACGGCCACCCTTCCTGCACCACGATCTTGACCACCTTGTCACGCAAGCCCTGGACACAACGAAATAGTCGATGGTCGAGCTGCCTCCAGCTGTGCGGCAGGTCCCGCACACCGTCGTGGGCGCCACCAGCATGGTCTCCGCCTGCTTGATTGCCTTCACCTCTGCCAGGACGCCAAGGGAGTTCTGGACATCGCCGCCCATCACCCATGGCATGCCCGGGCTCTCCATAATCTCCACGACCTTCGTAGCAATGGCAACGTTGCGGTTGGAAAAGGCCCTCCGCCGCCCACAGGTAGACCGTCGCGATCAGCATGCCTCCCCGCCCCGCTGCTATCCAGGCAACCGCCGCCCGTCCTGCCGAGCCCTTGGGCGAAACGTCCCACTTGGCTTGGCCACAGGGAAAAGCCATGCCCATGTCCTTCGGCACAGCAAAACCTACGCCCGCCGAGGTACCTGGCTCGCCCTCACGTCCGATTGTGGGAACGGCTGTGGTACCTCCGATCTGATATCCGCATGCCTTCATGCTGCCTGTAACTCCAGCCCACGCCTCGTCCAGCAGCCGATGTTCCTGGAAGACGTAGACGTGCCGTGCCCGTCGCCCCCCACCGTCGTCGCCCTTATCCTCGAGCAGCTTCTCTTTAATCGTACCCTAGATGGAGCCGTTGAACGTCCGCCGGGTGATGTCCTTCCTCCTACCGACCTCGATCGGCCGCGGGATCAGCAGGTGCCTCTCCTTCGGGTCCTGAAGGATCCGCGCGTGCCCTGCCCAGCCAACGCTCATGGTGCCCACCTCGGCGTCACACTCCCTCTCGCTGCCCTCGGACAGCGGGATCCACCCCTCGGGGGTCCACCGGCTGCCCGCCCAGCCAGGGACCCGCTGCTGCCGCCGTAGATGCGCGACCACAGCTGCACGCCACGGGGAGACGCCATACCCAAGGTCGGCGCCGTTGAGCACAAAGTACAGGAGGCTGCTACCCCGTCCGCATCTTCTTCGCGACCTGGGACGCATGCACCCCGACCAGCACTTTTTGGAAACGCTTGCACCGCTCAGGCTGCTGCACGGGGTCAGGAGCAGGGGCCCCCCCATTGACCCACTGCTTCTCCTCCTCGGTGACTCCCTCGGGAATGTCCACGTCGTCGACGAGTCCTCCACCACTGCCCTCATCGGCTTTGCCCCCACTGCCCCTAGCAGGTTGCTCAGGAGGCTCAGCACCAGCATCAAACTCAGCAGCGACGGTGGTGATGAGGGTCTCGACCTTGGCCCAGCCATCGCCGAAACCAATGTCCTTCAGGGTGCCACCCGCCTTGGTGACCATTGCCTCGAGCTGAACGCGCAAGACGTCAAGGTCGGACGCTGGGGCCGCGGGCTGCTGCGCCGCGATCTTGGCCTGCAGCGCGAGCTCGTTGGCCTTGGCCCCGGCCTTCGCCTGGCGCGCCTCCTGCACTGCCGCCTGCACCGCGAGCAGCTCCTTCTGCAGCTCCTCGGCCTGACGTACGAGCACTTCCTCCTGATGCGTTCGCTTTGCCGAGAGAGCCTGTGCCTCCCGCGTCTGGGTAGCGAGCGGCTTCGCCTGATCCCTGATGTTGCGAGCCTTCGCGATGTCCCTGTCCAGCTGCGCGATCCCCTCGGTGACGTACGCTGGTGGGTCTTCACACTCGACAACAGGGAACTCCTGGAGGCACTTACGTTTCCCCAACAGCACCTTGAGCTCCGTCTTGGGCTTGCCCACTGCGTCCTTCGCCTTGTCCTGGGCCCTGGGTGGACGGGTCGTACACGTCTCCTTTGTGGAGCCCTTGTTCTGCATCTGGCCCTTGCCCCTGCCACCCTTGCCCGTCCGCAGCCGTCCGCAAGCACGGCAACACGTGCGCGTAGGCCAGTTGCTACCCGTGCCGCAGGCCCCGCATGTCCAGGGTAGGTGAGCCACAGATGACGTTGCACCACTGTGTCTTCCCCCCCACTGCGTGCCGGGCCTCGTGTCCCACTGCTTCTTCTTCTTCTTCTTCTTCTTGCCGCCACCTTTGACCACCCAGCCATCCTCGCCGCCCGCCATCGGTGCGCCCCACGCTCCGATACGAACCCACGAGGGTATAGGAGGGTGCTGCTGTGGCAGCTCTCACTTGTTGGAAAGGAAGGTGGCCTCAAAGCGGAACCTCCCTCGCGCTCAGAAGTCGCCCCGAAAGACTCGCGGTCGTCGGGACGGTGCATTGCCTTGAGCCAAAATGGCTACGGCGATCGCCCAAGAAGCCTCCAAGATGGCCCCAGAACGGCCCAAGAGGCCTTCAAGACGCCGCAAGGGGGCGCCAAGACGGCCCAAGAGGCCTCCAAGACGCCCAAAATGGCCTTCAAGACGAAAGCGCTCCGAGAGGGCCTCAAGACGGCCCAGAGAGGCTCCCAAAACGGCTTCCGACGGCGTCAGACGGGCCAGGAACGCGGTAAAACGGACATCGAGGCCCCCAAGAAGCCCCCAAAGGCCCCCAAGAGGCCCAAGGAGGCCCCCAAGCGGCCTCCCAGAGGCCTCCACGAAGATCCCAGGAGACCGCAAGAACGACCCAAGAAGCTCCCTTGAGGTGTCCTCATCCTGCTCCCCATCCTCTCTTCTTCTCCCTCTCCTCATCCTCCTCTTCCGCCCGCACGTGCTCCCCGAGAGGGCTTCCACAACGGCTCAAACGTTTCCCAAACGCTTGGCCACATAGGCGCATCCTGAAAGGCAGGGGGCGGCGGTGATTCGCGATCCGCCGCCCCCTATTGATTCATCCCAAGGGTGCCTGGCGTGCTAAGGTGTTGGAAACTTTGGTTCTCTTAGACGCTCCCCTTGGGGCTTCGGCCAAGCGCGCCGGCCACCTCGAAGGCCGCACCAGCCGCACAATCCACCAAACAATTTTGTCAAATCGCCTCCACGACGGCCAAGATGGCCTCCAAGATGCCTCCAAGACGGCCAAAATGGCCCCAAGAGAGCCCCGGATGGCCCCAAGATGCACCTGAGACGGCCCAAGATTGCCCAAGACGGCCCAAGAGGCCCTCAAAAGGCCTACAAGACGGTCCGAGAGGCCTCCAAGAAGCCCTCCAGGGAGGCCCGAAGAAGCCAAAACGATTGATTTGAATAGGTGTTTGAAGGATTTTGGCATTTGCTTATTTTTGGCCTTCCGACGGGCCAAACTGGCCCAAGAGGCTCCCAAGATCGCCTCCAGAATGCCCAGGAGGCCTCCAAGATGGCCTCAGGACGGCCCAAGATGCTTCCAAGACGGCACCCAAAAGGGCCCCAAGACGGCCCAAGAGGCCTCCAAGACGCCCAAGATGGCCTTCAAGACGACCCTGAAGCGCTCCGAGAGGGCCGAAAGGGCTTCCACAACGGCTGGGGGAACGCATGTAGGGGAACGAACAATTGCATAAACATAACAACTCGGAGGTCAGCGCGGATTTCTCGGATCCGCGCGGACCTCAGAGTTTCTATAGTTCTGTAATTTGTCGTTCCCCTAGCATGGTCCAACAACGTGGCCAAACGTTGCCCAAACGTTTGGCCACATATTAGGCGTACCCTGACAGGCAGAGGGGGCGGTGGTGATGCGCCGCAGGCGTCTCTGGTATGTGTGGTGCCGCCTGCGCGGGTTCACGCTGTGGGCTCCGATCTGTGTTAGGCAACATGCAGCGTGCAACACGTAAGTATTATCTCCTCCTCCTCCTCCTCCTCCTCCTCCTCCTCCTCCTCCTCCTCCTCCGTCTCCTCCTCCTCCCCTCCCTCCTCCCTCCCTCCCTCCTCCTCCCCCTCCCTCCTCCTCCTCCTCCTCCTCCTCCCTCCTCCTCTCCTCCTCCTCCTCCTCCTCCTCCTCTCCTCCTCCTCCTCCTCCTCCTGCTCCTCCTACTCCTCCTCATCCTCCCTCGCCTCCTCCTCCTCCTCCTCCTCTTCCTCCTCCTCCTCTTCCTCTTCTTCCTCCTCCCCCATGCGTATGTATATGTGTTATCTGTGGTGCACTCTAGGTGGTGCAGTCCGCCTTGCACAATTTATCGCCAGCTCCATCTATCGAGCAAGCGTCCCACCCTCCCAGCCGCGCGACTTTGTTTTTGCAAATCCATGCGGCCGCAATGGCGGTGACTACCTGGCATTGGCCAGCGCAGCTCTCGCTGCACCAGCGCAAACAGGCTCGCGCGCAGACCGGCCACCTGGTTTGGCGCCATCGGTGCGGCCGCGATGGCGCTTACGGTGATGGCATGTTGTAATTTTTTTATCCTATCACCCTGGGGCTTGTCATGCACGGACAAATTCAGAAGCCGACTTACGGCCCCGCAGACAGTGCTTGCGCGAGCCCGCAGAACCCTTCGATAAGGAATACAGGGTCTGGAAGCCAGTGGAAAGCCAATCTTGGATTAGCCATGGATATCACCTCCGCCCTCACAAGATAAGGAATCCCCCAAGGTCTGAAGCCTCCTGGGCACACTCCTTACCCAACGCCCCACCGTGCCACCATACGTATGTACCCGTGGTGTACTCTATGTGGAACTTCTCGTCAGCTCCACCTCTCGCGCCAACATCCCACCCTCCCAGCCGCGACTGCTGTTGCAAACTCGTGCGGCCGCAACTGCGGTGACTACTTGTTGGCATTGGCCTGCGCGTCTCTGTCTGCACCAGCGCGAGCGAGCTCGCGCGCAGAGCGGCCAGCTGGTTTGGCACCATCGGTGCGGCCGCGATGACGCTTACCGATGGGAACTTCCTAGCGCACCTTAGCCCGCGCTGGCGCGCGGGCGCTTTAATACAAGCCGGTGATTCGGGCGATCGCGGTATCATGATGACGTCGACAACGACGGCATCGATGGTGCTAGTAGCTTAGCTGCTCCGATACGCAACTCGCAACACGTAGCGTATAGATTCGGAGCTCAACACGTAGGCAAAGAACGCAGGAATGAAGCGGTACGTTGGCCAAAACGTGGGCCAATATGCTGAGCCAACACGCAAAGTATTGACGCGGACGTTTTGAGGACGGTAAGTGTTGCGTTTCAAAACGGGCGTATCATGGCACTAAAGATAGTAGCGGTGGTGGTGGCGATGATGAGGATGACGACGGCGAAACAAATGACGGCGCCAATGCTGGCGACGACGATGGCAATGATGTTTTCCATGCGTCCGTGATGAAAGTGGTTCACTGATGATGGCGGCAATGGCGGCGATTGGCGATGCCGATCACGGCGGTGATGCGGCGGCGCTGATGAAAGTGATGGTGATGAGAAAGTGCGCGCGCCTGGAAGTGCAAGGCAACCTGGCGAATATGTTGTTGTCATGCATGTGGTTGTCGTATGAGTTTAGAAATGCCTATCTGGAGATGCTTCGAACACGAATGGCTTCAGACGGATTTCGGCACGCGCGCACGGCGGCGCGCGCGTACGTACGGCCCGCAAAATATTCTTTGATACAGATCCGCGCACTGGGCACATGCTGGATCAACGCGGATGCACCTCGTACTGACATGAAAATGAAGTTCCTGGACGAGGTTGGCAACACTATATCAATTTCCCATGACTTTGGCAAATGCGCGCGGGCAGAGAATCTGCCATATTCCGATGGACAAACCCAATTCGTTGTTACTGTTTAAAATTGAAGCGGTTGCAGCACCAACGTGTTTCGCATGATTTTGACATGTGCGCGCTCGTGCGGACTGTGTGGCATTGTTTAGCAAGGGGTTATTGAACATGATCCCTTGAAATATACGAATGCGCACGCATGATACTCATTGACAGGGATGAGGGGGTCATTGCCGGCTGGCCTGGGAAGGTGCGACCTCGTACTGAAAATTAGCGATTAAACAACACCATATTCAAATTGAAAGTTTAAAACGTGATGGGTTTAGTCCGGAACAGCGCTTGCGCTTAGGGGCTCTTACTTGCATTTCTAAAGAATTGGAGGGGTGTCCCGAGGATTCGCCACGTTCCGGCTCGTTGCCGCTCCCTTGCCGCTCCCTTGGGGGTGTCCATGGATGCGGCACGCTCTGGCCCGTTGCCGCCCGTTGCCGCCAGTGGGGGTGTCCCGAAGATTCGCCAAATGTCGGCCCATTGCCGGCCGTTGGCGCCCCTTGGGTGCCAAGAGGATTTGCAACGTTCCGGACCGTTGCCGCCTGTTGCCGGCCGCTGCCGCCTGTGGGGGTGCCCTGAAGATGCGTGCTCGTGCTTCGAAAAGCGGCCGCAGAGTCGCTGGTGCATCGCATAGCTTTCACATCCACGCTGTCATAACTTCCTGTCTGTTTTTTCTTTTCGTGCGAAGCGTGTAGAATAGGTTCCTCGATCTCGATATAAGGACCGGCCCGAAAACCAGAGCACCTCCGTGGCTGTAATGAACAAATCGAGATTGCACTCGACACGCGGCAACTCGCCACGCCCGTCGTGCGGAGAAATTCGCAACTAGCACGAAGGTGCACGGGAACAGGCGATCTGAGCCTTACGACGCTGCCGCGTGCCACGAGCAACGCCCAGGAGACTGACGTGGCTCAGCTCGATAATCGGGCGACTTGCACGCATCAAGTAAGCTACGCGCCTGCCTTCCAGAGGGTCAGTGCCGTCGGCGCTGGATGTGGACCAAGATCACCGTGCGGTCTGGCTCCAGTTGTTCAGGCGCCAAGCCCCGAAGCAACGTGATGGCGCGCAGGCGTGCCCTGGACCGTGCGAATTGCATGCGTCGCTGAACGGCAGGCCACGGCAGAAAGCCGCACAGGGGAAGATTGTCATCGAGACAGCTGCCGCGCCTGATCCCCCGCAACCCCCGCCCTTCTCCTGGTCCTCACCCCTTGGCCATCATGTGATGATCATTGGCTATCCCCCTGCCTTTGTGGCCCTTGGCGTTCTCTTACAATCCTACCGGCTTAAAAACGTTATCAAAACCGAAAGCAGCGATCTCGCTACGCGAAGAGGCTGCGACAGAAGAATTGCCACCCCCTGCCGCACAGACGCGCGGGCTGCACAGCGCACAATCGCGGACGGCCCTGCAAAGTGCGTGGGGCGGCGTCCAAACGCGCACTTCACGTTGGACAGGTCTTGGAGCGCACAGAGGGCGAGGAGAGGCGGAGTGCCCCGTCCATGTTAGGAAGGCACCAACTATACACCAACACCGATCCTGGCCAGGATTACCCTGGGCCCAGGATCGGTGTATACGCCCTCCTGCCTTGGGCAAGAAGGCATATACACCGATCCTGGGCCCAGGGTGATCCTGGGCCAGGATCGGTGTTGGGGCACAGTTGGTGCCCTCCGACGTGTGCCAGGGGCGCCAGTTCCCCACATGACGGGATGGGAGCACCGCGATGCCACGGCTCGCCAGGGCGGAGCGAGGCGGGGGACGGGGCTTCCCCCGGGGGCCCGGCCCTCCTCCCCTGGTCGCCGCCTCCTCCTCCTCCTCCTCCTCCTCCTCCTCCTCCTCCTCCCTCCTCCTCCTTCTCCTCCCTCCTCCCTCCTCCTCCTCCTCCTCCTCCTCCTCCTCCCTCCTCCTCCCTCCTCCTCCTCCTCCTCCTGCCCCGCAGGGAAGGGAAGGAGCGCGAGGCCGGGGCGCTGCCGGGGAAAGCCCACGGCACGGCTGCGGCCACCGGAGGCGACGGCCAAAAGGCTCCCAGCTGGTCCGCCGGAGGAGCCTGGACGAGCGGCAGAGAGACTGTCCTCCTCCTCCTCCTCCTCCTCCTCCTCCTCCTCCTCCTCAGCCTCCTCCTCCTCCTCCTCCTCCTCCTCAGCCTCCTCCTCCTCCCCCTCCCAGGGAAAGCCCACGGCACGACTTCGGCCGCCAGAGGTGACGGCCAGAGGCTCACAGCTGGTCCGCCGGAAGAGCCTGCAGCGCGCTCAGTGCGCCCCTGCCTCGACGCAGCCGTTGAAGCAGGAGCCTACGATGATCCCCTCCATTCCGATCTTGGCTACGACGTCCAGGACGCACAGGCAGATGTCCTCGGTGGGCTTCGTGATGAGGCCCAGGTGCGCACGCCCAATGCCCACGATGATCGGATAGAACGACCAAACCACGATAGTGAGCATCTCGAGCTGCTTGAAGAGGTTGGCGGCCACCTCGATCTGCTTGCTTGCTTTGTACCCCACGTCAACCTGAAGCGACACCAACAGCATGATATAGAAAAAACATGAGAACCCAAACCAAACATGTTTCAAGTGCTTGTACGGCTTCCACGGCAACAACGCCGCGATGATGCCCGTGGCGAGCATCAGTAAGTCGCTCATGATGACCATGATTATCATAGGTGTGGTAGCGTGCGCTATGTGGCAGAGCTCATACAACATCAGGGGTGTTGTGGTGATCCAGTCAACGTAGCGAGCGATGGGCACCAAATCTCCCTTTATGACCATGTCTCCCATATGGCACGACTTCGCGAAGTATGTCATTGCCGCTATCGCGGTCACAAAGAAGGTGTTCACAAACGATTCCTCGTTCACATGGCGTGCCCACAGACAGAGCATGACAAGACATGCGACGGAGAACAAGCCGCAAGTTATGCACTCAGCATACCAGGCAGCCTTGTGCAATGACGTCTTCCCGTGGTGCCACTTTTTCGTTGTCCTGCGTCGGTTTGAGATCAAGCGCCACGGCTTGCGGCTTATACGATATTCTTTCGAGCTGGCCTTGCTGGCGTCACCCCCGTTATCGCTCTGCTTGCTGGCGTCGCGCAGTGCAACCTCTTCCTGCTCCCTGGCCGCGTGCGGATTCTCGACGTCATATGTTGAACTCGTAATTTCTGGCGTCGAGCCGGCCTTGCTCACGTCACAATTCGCCTCGTCCTGCTCTGTGCTGGCGTCGCCCAGTGCCCACTTCTCCTGCGTGTCGGACAGGCACTCCTCCTTCACCTCAGCGTCGTTGACCGCGTGCTTCGCCTTCCCCGCCCAGGTCGCACAAACGTCGACCGCAGGCACCTTGGAAGCGGTCCCCTCCGATGGGATCTCGAAATCGGTCATGATGGATGGGCCGTCGGGCATCGGCGGTGGCAACGACCCCTGGATCTTCGGGATGTTGACAAACGGAAGGTTCAGCTCCGACGGCGACGTCGGCGCGTCCTCCATCGGCGCTTTAGGCAATGGCATGTCCTCCATCGTGAATCGAAGCGCGTGTATGTGGGAATCCCACGCAAGCAGTTAGGGGACGCGCGTGCGCGGGCTCTTGAAGAAGGATGGCCTGAGGGAGCTTGAGACAAAATTCCTTGAGCCACAGTGGCTACGGATGTCATAACTTCCTGCTTTGGGCCCACGTTGTCAAACATTGTTCTCTGGAAGGAAAACCCATGCGGTACAAGCTCTGGGCATCCAGAAACGCGAATCAGAGCAGCAAATGGGCGCTGGCGCCCACCGCCAGAGAGACTGGAACCGCTAAGCATCCGCATCGGGCGAGCACGAAGCCGGCCCTCGTTCTCGCCCGGGTTGCCCGGGAATGCCTCGCCAGGGTTGCCCAGGGCTTGCCGGAGCAATGGCAAGCAACATCCCAAGCAATGCCAGGCAACGCCAAGCCGTGCCAAGCAGTGCAAAACTAAGGCCAGGCAACGCCCAGCAGTGCTCTGCATTGCGTTGGGTTGCACTGCTCTGCGCTGCTCAGAACTGCTTTCGAAGAAAGAATCCTGATTGCAGTCGGGCTGGGAGCACTTGCTGTTGAGAGCGGAGCCGGGCTCACTTGCTGTTGGGGGCGGGGCCAAGAGGAGCAGGGGCGACGATCTCTAGAAGGGCTCTCCCCCTTGCAACTGTACCAGGGCCTCCTGCCTCGTCCCTCCTCCTCCTCCTCCTCCTCCTCCTCCTCCTCCTCCAGTGGGAACCGCCAGAATCCCACCAGCCCGATGGGCGTGAGTGATCTAACGAGCTCGGTCTGCTATCCCCCTTCTTCCCCTTCGGGGCGGGGGGGTCCCCTGCACCTCCCTCCTCCCGGGTCTGGATCGGGTGTTTCGCGGGTAGTTGCAGCGCCTGGGACCCGAGATGGCTCCAGGAGGGACCACAGAGCCCACGATGGCCTTCAAGATCGCTCAAGATACAGATCCCCAATTGGCTCAAAGCAGCTTCCAATGTTCTTTCAACCCACAGCCATCGGCTCAAGGCAGAAATGGTGATTCACCCACTGCCTCAGCGGGGTAGGCTCCCTTGCGAGCAGTTGGCGGTCCATTGCCACTTGTGCACGCTGGCCAAGCGGGCGGGATGGCTCCTTGTCGTCGCAGTTGTCCCTAGTGGGGCCGGCCAGAAGCCCCAGACAAGGACGGATGATGGAATAAGCGCCAGCTGGGCCTCAGTGGTCCGTGGGAGCGGCCGCATGAAGTATCCGGCGGGTGGACAGCCAGAGGAGGAGGAGGATGAGGAGGGGGAGGTCCTCAGGTGACGCGGCATACCCACCACCACCGACTCGGCAAGAGAACCGACCGCACATTCGATGCAAGGCCTGCGGGCACTGGCGCTACAAGGACACCCATCGACAGCATCAGTTACAGCTGCACGACATGCCACTGCAAGCTCCAAGATCGTGGTCGTCAAGCCAAGGACATGTGGACATGAGGCTCTTGTCATGGTTGACAAACCCCACGTGGAGCTTCTGACGCACTCGCCAAGTTTGCCACTGTTGGTGGCCAACTTGCAGGTCCCTTGCCCCCAAACGTGTCAGCTGCTGAAGCAACTCTCAAGAATGCGACAAAAACAGCGGCGGCACCGCATCAGCTGTCTCCAACTGAAGCACTTCGGCAATCAGCCGAAGAAGTTGGCAAAACGGATGCAGCATTGCAGAAGGCCACGGCGCAGTACGAGGAAGCCCTCTGCACCTTGGACATGGCGAGCCAGAAGTTGGAAGATGCACTTGCAAAACAAGAAGTGGCCAAACAGCAGCACCAGCAGTTTACGTACAAGCGTTTGGACATACCTCTTCAACCGGCAAACGGTGAACCTTCCAAGCCTGTCATCAACATGCAACTGATTTCCAGCCAAGAGTTCGACTTCGACTTCGGCTGAGACCTGGGCTTGGACGGAGTCGACCTCTCGCCTGAGAAAGGAAAGGAAATCATAGAGAAAGAGAGAGAATAGAGAGAGAGAGAGAGAAAGGAAAAACCAGCGGGAAGCCGAACTCACCAAAACCATCCAAGGCGCCATGGGCACATGCTACACGAACGTCAACGCATGAAACAAATCATGCGACGGCGCAAAGATCGGCAACCAGGAGACGACGCACAGCAAAACAGGCCCCTCCTGCCACTGCCGCCTCCCGCCCGTGGACGCGCAACCCTCGCCGCCCCGACCCGGGCGACTCCGTCGTCGGCGACGCCATCAACGGCAGCGGGCGCTTCGCCCCAGCCGCGTGGCACTCGACGGCCTGGAGAGGAATCGGCCGCAAACTTTGCCCAGATGGCAGCTAGCGCGGCGAAGGAAGCACTTCGGAAAATTTGGGCAGCGAAGGCGACGGGAATGGAACCGACTCCAAATCGAGGGCGGCCATCCCGAAGAGCAGCGCAATAAGTAACACATGAGGAATTTCGGCAAATGGGCGCACAACGCGCGGGCTCTTGTCGAGCTGCGCCCGCGCGACGCTGCCCTGCTGCCAGAGACCCCTGCGCAGAAGAGAACAGATACCTTGCGAGCAGGCGGTCCGGCGATGAGTTCCGCAACAACTGCAGGCTGCCCCGCTGCGGTCTTTGGCGAAGCATTCGATCAGTCGTCCAGCCTTCGACGCGGCGGCCCCACCGAGACCCCCCCCATCGACTGCGGCGAGTTCGCGGCCATGCAGTTGCGCGCAGAAGCCACCAGGCGCGACGCGCGCATGCAAAGCAGGCCTTGGCACTCTGATTGACTACACGGCACGCTCAAAACTTTTCTCGACATCCCCATTTGACGCGGACATGTTTCTCGCGGATGGCAAATCACATGCTAGACTCAGACTTGGAATATACTTCAAACTTGAACATATCCACTGCATTAATACTCGATCCCAAAGAAAGCTCCCAGCAACCGAAAGCGCCGAAAAAAGCAAGCTGACCCGCAAGGGGTCGCGAAAGAAATCGCGATCCCCCACGGAGTTGCCGGCGGCGGTCGAGATTGCAGAGAATGGACCAAGACAAGTCCCAGTTGCGCGCGAAACCCCCGCCGATAATCTGGACTGGGGCGACGCATTCGAAGGCAAAGACCCGGATGGGCCGCCAGAACTCGGGCCCCCCCGCCATCTCGACAGCCAGCGCACCACTCTCGAGACAATGCCGTCCGCGCCCAGACCATCTCAACAGAAGCGCTGGTTCACCGCGGACCAATTTCAGTTATGAGAACCCCTGCAGGTCACGGAGAACCTGTTGGACCCTCCCCTCTACATCAAGCAATCGGCGGCCTTCGAATTAAACGCTCGGGCATCGCGCACTATTGCGGGTCCGTGCAGCTGGTGGCGGAGAGCGAGACAGCGCTAGCCACGCCTCTGTCAGGCACCAGCCCACCTCCACGCAGCGTTTGCGGGCCGAGCGCGACCACGGCGACTGGGGAAACGCAAACAACCTACCACGTCAGCTTTTAGCTCGATCGAGAATCCAGCGGCGCAGCGGCGGACTGCGGTTGGAGCACATTTCTCGTGCCTGGCGAACCTGCTCGAAAAGAGGTACGCGGATATATCTATCTGGCTCATCAATGAGATCCACGCGGCCCTTGGCGCCATGCCCGCGGTTTCTAACGTGGCGCTCCCTCCGCGAGTTCGTTGCGACTGAAAAATGGAGGAAAGCTCTCCGCCTCCTGCCTGAGCTCTCCGACTGCGCGATCAAGGAGACGTCCGCCCAAGCCCGGGAGAACGCAGACTTCGCCGGCCGGCCGCTCCCCAATGCGAATCTACGAGCGCATCGAGAATGGGCTGCCTTCACAGGAGCCAAGAACGTCGGGGATTTTTCGCAGGGCCAAAGACTCCCCAGCAATCGCCAACGAGACCGCCTACATCTGCAAGCCCACGGGCGACGTGATCTCTTCCATGACAAATGAATCTAAACTACGGCGCGGGAAATGGACCAAACTGAAGCTCGCATTCGACCGCTAGCAGCATATGTTTCGGGAAGCAGACCAAATTGCAAGCGCGCAAAAAGATGTTCCTCTCGCGCTGGATGATCCCCATGGCGCTCTGAGGCATCCCGACCCGGAGGAAGCCCTAGGCGTTGAACGCGTGGGGAAGAAGGATATCGCGTGGCTGCCCGAACCAGCAAACATGGGTGGTGATCTTTCTCAACTCCACCGAGCAGCAGCTGGCGTGGCCCTGGCAACTCATGCTCAACATCGCTCTCCAACGCAGGTCAGTTGAGGCTGATCGATCTATCGGATTGACATCCTGGCCCACGCGCTTCGGGGGAACGATGACGTCACCAGAGAGAGCGGCATGGGCGTCTCAACGGGCTGGAGTATGAGATGCCGCAAATCAAGAGCAGCTCGGGACTGAGGGCGGCGCCGGGCCGATGGTTCAAATATGAAGCTGCTGTTCTTCAAGGCTCCAGACGCGCTCACCGTGGAAGCGCGCGCTGGGATGTCCAGGCCTTCTATGACTCGCTTGACCGAGCCCACATAATCCAGACGCCCATTGCATCCTGAATCCCAATGCGTTCCCACATTGTTGGGCTCCTCGCGCACGTGTTCCCGCTGAACATCCGCGAGCAGGGCTGCGTCTCTATGCTCTTGCGCGCGAATCTCAGCATAGTTGCAGGAGCCAGTGCAACAGTTGATATTGGTTGATGCGCTGTGAATTTCAAAAGTGAGACAGCCAGTAACTAACCCACCTCCGCACACACTACCATCCTGGATCGACGATATTGTTCAGCGCAGGGAAGACGTCATTGCCGCGCAAATGCGCGTTATGACATGAGCTGGCGTCACTCTAGCTCAATGTGGCGCAGCAGTAGGTCCAGTCATGTCCAACAGGTCTACTGCAATCTCCTCATCCACCGAGTTTGCATAGGCCCTCACGTTGAACCTCAAGAGCGCGAAGATCCCCAAGCGCTCCGAACTTGTCGCGCCAGAACCTGCCATGGGCCGCGGCAGGGCAGGCCTCTGGAGGCGCGAGCAAAAGGGGAGACGCACGACAGTTGGCGCAATGACTATGCGCTTTTCGCGTTTCGCGCGCTCATCGGCCGAGCGCAGGCAAGTCAACGGCAATCTCCTGGCGCTCGGCGGCGCCACCGTGGGCATCTGCGGCGACAAAGTGCATGGCGCGTGGCGTACTTCACTCGGCAAACTTGCGAAATCGA